CCTTCCCCCTGCCTCCCCTTTACCTTCCCCCTGCCTTCCACCTACCTTCCTTCCCCCTGCTTCCCCCATGCCTCCCCGTTGCGTAAACCTTGCAGAAAAGCAAAGAATCCTAGATTAAAAAATCTATAACATGTTAAACTAGAAATAAGCAAAGTGCAATCAGACTCCCTTTCGTCTTCACTTTGCATACATGCAAACAGATGGCAACGCACACTGGCGCCAAGCGCCCATTCAAAGCTCAGAGATATGGAAACCGAGAACACAGTTCAGATGCAAATTCGCTTCAACAGGCTATGGCGCATCAGCGCCTGTACATCCCAACTCTCGTCACTGTGTCCAACACCACTGTTCGCACACACTCAACTCTGGATCACCCTGAATACCCCACACGCGTCACTGCATCACACACACATACACACACACTAACACCTAACACTAGCTATGGCGGCTATGGCCGCCGGCTGCTCACTAACTTCTTCAACAAGCCCACTTCGACCTCGGGCATCTGCAGACCACCTCGCACAAGACGCTCCGGCAGCGCTTCCGCATGGCTCGCGCAGGAATGAATGAATGGCTGGACGCTGCCTCTTGATTCATACTTCTGTAAGTCGCCGGTCTGCCCTTTTCCACCGGGCCCATGGTGCACACAGTCCGTCATGGTCATGGTTGCTGACTGTACAAAGTGAGACTGGGACTGGGTACCGCTGACTAAGCGAAGTTGGACTCACCACTTGCCCACTTGCCTCTGGTCTGCTGTGTATAACGTGAGAAGAAACTTTCAAGGCCACTTCCGGACCTTCCGGAAGTTTGCGGACTTGGCCTTTCAGGACTATAGCAGCTACGACCTTGACCTTTCAGGACTGTAGCAGCTACGACCTCGACCTTTCAGAACTACAACAACTATGACCCCTATGCAGTTATGACCCCCTACTTCGACAGGTCTAAGGTTCAAGACCCGACAACTACTCAGACCTACGACAGGCAGCTTTCAACTGCTAACACACAGGTCACGGGTTCAAGACACACAGGGTCGACTCGATACTTTACACAGGGAAGGTAAGGTAAGGTAAGGTAAGGTAAGGTAAGGTAAGGTAAGGTAAGGTAAGGTAAGGTCTGGGGATCGAGCCCTGGGCTCCGCATCTGTGACTGCAAAAGGTGAAAACCGTTTCAAAAGAAGCAAACATAAGGTCTATTATTTCTACAGTTACCGTGGTGAATTAACTTACCCTGGTTGTATGGTGCTTTCCAAAGTCCTGAACACGGGAGGCCGCAAGCTTGTAGCGTTGTCAATTAGACCTGATGCTTGAAGACCAATGCCACAACCTACCGCTTGCCTATGTGTGGACTGGATGCGGACTTTGACCAACTCTAATGGCGTCGACACCACTGCTTCCAGGGCACCAGCCAGGGCTCCAGCCTTAAGAGCTTCCGATGTTGAGACGCCGGGGAGTAGTCTGCCATCTGCCCATAACATTACCATCAGTATCAGTAGATCAGGACTCTATAGTGTCCTCTCTCTCTCTCTCTCTCTCTCTCTCTCTCTCTCTCTCTCTCTCTCTCTCTCTCTCTCTCTCTCTCCCTCTCTCTCTCTCT